GTGCTCTTACTGCCTATGACAGGGAAAGCCAGCTTACTCCATCCATGTTTAACATTTATGCAAGTGACCAGCCACTGCCAGGAGGGACAGAGAGTTTCATCTATGCTGACGATCGTGCCATCACCACCCAAGCAGGACCCCAAAAGTCCAAGGATGGCTTTCTAATAATAATAATAATAATAATAATAATAATAATAATAATAATAATAGCAATGGCTTGGAGAGATGCATTATTTTTATTGGGGTAAAATACAATATTAAAGAAACACATTAATAATTATTGCATTTCTTTCTCCCGATTTTTGCAGATTGAAGGAATACCATCGTCTCCAAAGCAAGATCAACGTGGCACAGAATTGATACCATCCTCGTGCGTCTTTAGACACTGCCCCCTCATTTTAATTTTATATTAATTGCATAATAATAATTTTAATATTAATTAATTTATTAATGCAAAAAAAAAATCCAGAAATGGCTGGGAGAGAGATGCATTCCTTTGCATTGGCATGAATGATAGATTTCTAAATGCCTTACTTTTTAATCCATCGGGCCTTTGATGTCCTTCTTCGTCATGCCGTTGTTCCCGGCCGAACGAGCGCCTTTGTAGTTTGCGCCGGGGTTTAAGTGCCTCCGAAGGACACGCTGTTTATTCCTCCCTTTCTCTCTTTTTTGTTGTCTCGAGGAAGAATTGGGTTGGATGGGACCCAAACCTCGGAAATGGGGCGAAATAATGAGAAATAGCAAACAATTCCACCCTTTTAGTGATCCCCATTAAAAGCATACCACGAGGCCTGGCTTTCGCGTGCAGTTTTTCTTTCATGACTGGCTTGTAAGTTTATTTTCCTGTAGTTGCAAATGCTCTCGGGTTGGAATTATTATTATTATTATTATTATTATTATTATTATTATTATTATTACTATTGTATTAGGAATCATACTGTAGGGTTTCCCTGGAGAACCTTCCAAATGCCGGCTGCATCCTCTCCAAAGTTGTCTAGTCTTTTCCATGAATAGCTTGTGCCCTCTTGAACCACAGAATTGTAGGATCCTTAGAGCTGGAAGGGACCCCCAAGGGCCATCCAGCCCAACCCCCTTCCAATCCCTCCCGACAGAGGGCCATCCAGCCTCTGGTTAGCAATCTCCAGAGAAAGAGATAGATAGATAGGAAGGATAGATGGATCAATAAGGATGGCTGGATCGATCAATCGATAGGAAGGAAGGAAGATAGATAGATAGATAGATAGATAGATAGATAGATAGATAGATAGGGATCAACAGATGAATGGATGGATAGATAGGAAAGAAGAAGGGTGGGAGGGTGGATGGATAGATAGGAAGGAAGGAAGGAAGAATAGATAGATAGATAGATAGATAGATAGATAGATAGATAGATAGATAGATAGATAGAGCTCTTTCTTTTGAGTCTTATATAAACAGGATCAAATGGACAGATTGATTGATGATAGATAGATAGATAGATAGATAGATAGATAGAGATAGAGACAGACAGAGAGATAGATAGGGGTCAATGGATGGATTGGAAGGAAGGATAGATAGAGATAGATAGATAGAGACAGATAAGTAGAAAGATAGATAYAGCTCAATGGATGGATAGCTAGGAAGAAAGGATAGAGACAGACAGATAGATAAGAAGGATAGATAGAGATAAATATATAGACAGAGATACATAGGTAGAGAGATGGATGGATGGATAGATAGATAGATAGATAGATAGATAGATAGATAGATAGATAGATCGATCTCTTTCTTTGGAGTCTTATATAACCAGGATCAAATGGAGAGAGAAGGAAGAAAGGATAGATGGACGGATGGATAGATAGATAGATAGATAGATAGATAGATAGATAGATAGATAGATAGATACTGTAGATAGATAAGAGAGAAAGGGATTGGGTGAATGGATTGATAGAGAGAAAGAGAGATTAGATAGAGATAAAGATATAGGATGGATAGATAGATAGATAGATAGATAGATAGATAGATAGATAGATAGATAGATAGATCTCTTTCTTTGGAATCTTTTATAAACAGGATTGAATGGATAGATAGCTAGATAGAGGGATAGATGGATGGATAGACAGATAAATAGAAAGGAGGATAAATAGGTAGGTAGGATAGAAATATAAAATAGAACGATAACGTATTAATACATATGATAGATAGATAGAAAGATACATAGATGGATAGATGAATGGATGGATAGATAGATACATGGATAGATAGATGAATGGATGGAGGGATGGATTGATGGATGAATAGATAGATAGATAGATAGATAGATAGATAGATAGATAGATAGATAGATAGATGCTCTTCTGAGGTAGAGATCAAATCCTAGACTTGGAAGGGAACCCCAAAGGCCATCCAGCCCAGCCCACTTCACCTGGGCAGAAAGAAAGACCCCATCTGATCCCTCCCGACAGATGGCCATGTATTCTTTTCCCATTGATAACTTTTGCCCGGCTTTCCTGTAAACACTCGGAGGCCAGGACGGCACCCTTTTAAGCCATTATGAGGATGATGGTTAGCCTTCTCCTCCTCCTCCTCCTTTTGCGCCCTTTGGGCTGGGGGTCCCATCTGGTCCATCCGCTGGCCTTTTGGGTTCTCCCCGCTCCCTTTGCGTCCCCCTTTTCAATAGCCGCCCCACTCCTCCTTCTCTTCCTGGAAAGGCCAGGCCTGGCTCCATAGAGTAATGTCAAATGTGTGCCAAACAAGGGGGAAGAAGGGGAGACCCTAATGCATTTGCGGCCTTTGTCTGCCCACCTCGCTCGCTTGCTCCCGCTCTTCCCCGGCTTGCTCAAGCACCACTTAACACACATCTGCAACAATCCCCTACAAAACAGCCACTTGTTGGCTCTTTGTGTGGCAAACCTGGCCATCGAGGCCCCCCTTCCCCCTTCCCCTTTTATCTCTGCTTCGGGGACCTTGAGCGCACCATTTAAATGGCATTATTATCATTACTATTATGAGTATTTAAAAGGTTGCTGGGCTGTTTGGATGGGGGCCGGGCGTCACAATCAATTCCTCCCAAAACACACACACACACACACACACAATCCTGCTCCCAAGGATTTCCTGGATCCAGGAGCGTTCATAGATTACTTGACTGTGTTTATTACTATATTATTATTATATTAGCTTTCATATACTACTTGCTCGTGTTTATTATTATTATTATTATTATTATTATTATATTTTATTATTATTAGTAGTAGTATTACTATTATATTCGCTTTCATAGACTACTTCCTTGTGTTTATTATTATTATTATTATATTTTATTATTAGTAGTAGTGTTATTATTACTATTATATTCACTTTCATAGACTACTTCCTTGTGTTTATTGTTACTATATTATTATTATTACTATTATATTCACTTTCATAGATTACTTTATTTTGTTTATTATTGCTATATTATTATGACTATTATATTAGCTTTCATAGACTACTTCTTTGTGTTTATTATTACTTTATTATTATTATTACTATAATATTAGGTTTTATAGAATACTTGCTTGTCTTTATTATTATATTATTATTGTTATTACTATTATATTAGCTTTCATAGCCTACTATATTATTATTAATACTATTATATTAGCTTTCATGGACTACTTGCTTGTCTTTGATATTACTATTAATATTATTATTATTATTACTACTACTATTATTTTAGCTTTCATAGACTACTTGCTCGGGTTTATTATTATTATTATTATATTAGCTTCCATAGACTACTTGGTTGCGATTATTATTATTATTATTATTATTATTATTATTATATTAGCTTCCATAGACTACTTGGTTGCGTTTATTATTACTATATTATTATTATGATTATTATTATATTAGCTTTCATAGACTACTTGTGTTTATTATTACTATATTATTATTATTATTATTACTATTATATAAGCTTTCATAGACTACTTACTTGTATTTATTACTATATTATTATTATTACTATTATATTCGCTTCCATAGAGTACTTGCTTGCGTTTATTATTACTATATTATTATTATTTTATTAGCTTTTATAGACTACTTGCTTGTTTATTATTACTATATTATTATTATTACTATTATATTAGCTTTCATAGACTACTTACTTGTATTTATAATAATAATAATAATAATAATAATAATATTACTACTAGCTTTCATAGACTACTTGCTTTGGTTTATTAATACTATATTATTATTATATTATCTTTCATAGACTACTTGATGGTGTTTATTATTACTATATTATTATTATTACTATTGTTTTAGCTTTCATAGACTACTTTCTAGTGTTTATTATTACTATATTATTATTATTACTATTATATTAGCTTTCATAGACTACTTACTTGTATTTATTATCACTATATTATTATTATTATTATTATTATTATTATATTAGCTTTCATAGACTACTTACTTGTATTTATTATTATAATATTATTATTACTATTAGCTTTCATAGACTACTTGCTTGCATTTATTATTACTATATTATTAATATTATATTAGCTTTCATACACTACTTGCTTGCGTTTATTATTACTATATTATTATTATATTAGCCTCCGTAGACTACTTGCTTGCATTTATTATTACTATATTATTATTATTATTATTATTATTACTGTTTTAGCTTTCATACACTACTTGCTTGTGTTTACTATTACTATATTATTATTATTATTACTACTATTATATTAGCTTTCATACACTACTTGCTTGTTTATTATTACTATATTATTATTATTATTATTATTATGTTAGCTTTCATACACTACTTGCTTGTGTTTACTATTACTATATTATTATTATTACTATTACTAATATATTAGCTTTCATACACTACTTGCTTGTGTTTATTATTATTATTATTATTATTATTATAGCTTCCATAGACTACTTGCTTGTGTTTATTTTTACAATATTATTATTACTATTACTATATTAGCTTTCATAGACTACTATATTATTATTATATTAGCTTTCATACACTACTTGCTTGCGTTTATTATCACTATATTATTATTATTATATTAGCTTTCATAGACTACTTGCTTATGTTTATCATTACTATATTATTATTATTATTATTATTATGTTACTTTCATAGACTACTTGCTTGTGTTTATTATTACTATATTATTATTGTTATTATTACTATTATATTGGCTTTCATAGACAATTTGCTTGCATTTATTATTACTATATTATTATTATTATTATTATGTTAGCTTTCATAGACTACTTCCTTGTGTTTATTATTACTATATTATTATTATTATTATTATTATTATGTTAACTTTCATAGACTACTTGCTTGTGTTTATTATTACTATATTATTATTGTTATTATTACTATTATATTGGCTTTCATAGACAATTTGCTTGCATTTATTATTACTATATTATTATTATTATTATTATGTTAGCTTTCATAGACTACTTCCTTGTGTTTATTATTACTATATTATTATTATTATTATTATGTTAACTTTCATAGACTACTTGCTTGTGTTTATTATTACTATATTATTATTGTTATTATTACTATTATATTGGCTTTCATAGACAATTTGCTTGCATTTATTATTACTATATTATTATTATTATTATTATTATTATTATTATTATTATTATGTTAGCTTTCATAGACTACTTCCTTGTGTTTATTATTACTATATTATTATTATTATTATTATTATTATTATGTTAACTTTCATAGACTACTTCCTTGTGTTTATTATTGCTATATTATTAT